TGGATAGGAAACCAGTGAATCTGTGGCTCCCAGCGCTGTGCATCGCGAGCCGGCACGGGGCACCGCGCCTCTGCCGGCCGGTGTCTCTGGGCACCTCCCCTCGCTCGCCCCGGAAGCGCGGCAGGAGCCTCGGGCTGCGGCCCCACGCAGCTGATGTAGCTTTCGGGAGCGCAGGGCTGTTCTTTCTTTCAGGGGCGGCCCGGCTTCCTCGAGACCTTCACTCCTCTGCTTCAACGGAGAGTCGCTTCTTTTTTTTGAGGTGGGACTTTTTCTTTCCATGCCTTCGACCTCAGTCGCCCTTCGCTGTCCCGTAATCATTCGTCAGGCCGCAGGTCTGACCTGGAAGAATGTATCCACGCTCCCGTCGCCCCTTGCGGCAGCCCCCGTGTGTTCTGTGTGAGGGTTCCGTTGTCTGTCTTTTTTATAGGCAGGGAAGTAATGGTACTAGATGGCGCGTCACAGTCCGCGTCCCGTGGTTCCAGGACACCGACACCGTACGGTTTTCCTCATACCGAACCGCTGATGAGAGAGCGGCGGGGCTTGGGGACCCCGTGTCCCAGCCCCGAGACGACACGTTTAACAATGCGATTAAAGGGAAAGCGGGTGGGGGGAGGAGGCTGGGAGTGGAATCTGTCAGCAGTGAAAGTAAAAAGGAACCCCAGCCACCCGTACGTAATACGAAACCAGTTCACGGGAGAAAGGGGGCTGTGGCAGTCTGCTGGTTCCAGTCCTTCCTGGGACGCCCCGAGACTGGTCCGCGTGTCTTCACGGATGTGGTCTTCACGCAGGCATTCGGCGCCCACACCCTGGGCCCTCACGTCTCAGACGTATCTTCTCCCTCTCCCGTGAAGGCCTGTGTCTCCTTGTGCCGCTGTTTAGGAGAAGATAGGTGCTTGTGGGAAGAACCGTGCGTGAACAAGGGAGCCTGGTCCTGTGGGTGGCGCTGATGAAGTTCGGACCTTTTATTTATTGGTGCGTGCTGTGTTTTAAACATGCGCTCTCCTTTCCGGTTCCGGCGTGGCTGTGGCATTCCAGGCCAAGCAGGTAACTTATTTATTCTAACCTGAGGACTCCGCCGTCCCTCAGGGTTCCGTGGTCCTTTGGTCCAGCCATCTGCGGAAGGGTAACATCCCGTGCAGACGAAGGGTCGCGTTGCCGTCCCCTGTTCCCCGCCCCCTCCCCCAGTGTGTCCAGTTGAGTGAGTGGAAACCCACGCCCGCTGAAGCGTCTTTGAGAAAGTCTGAAAGGAGCAAACGTCAGTCGTCCGATTTTAGAGTATTTATTCTCAGAACACGAAGGTGTGGGTTGTTTCGGTTGTATGCGTGCACTCACTGCAAGGAGATTTTTTTTATTTGAATGTATTTTAAAGCAGTAGGTAGAACCACAAAGGAGTATGAAAACCACGAATTGAATGGACCACTTTGTGTATTCAGAGAGGAGCCACCCATCACCCCAAAGGAAATACCAGTGTAAAAAATCGGCAATTCGGAGGTCGCAGTACTTAGTATAGTTCATGATCGACCTTGTGCAACCACTACCAAAAAAGCGTGTTGTAATGCATCGAAAAATACAATTTCCTTCTCTAATGAATATCAATAAAATAAGTTCAAATGATGGAAACCACACTCGGATTCTGACTTGTATTCCATTTTTCATCGAGGAGATCTCTTTATGGGACACCTAAAGCTGTTCAGCTCTTTGGGGCGAGTAAATGAAAGCCGTATACTGTCCATACTGTTACAGCCACCCTTTCACACAATACTACACCTTAGACAACTTTCCAGTTGGAACCTCAAGAGCTTCCCTACATTCCAGGGAATTCCCTACATTATACCGTGTTGACGTACCCACGATGAACACGTTCATACTCCTGTGGACCAGTACCCTAGGGCTGGGGATGGAGTTAATTCCCGCCTTTTCTATCACAGCCCTATAATGAAAAAAACCTTTGCCTATATGTAATTTTCCACATATGGGAGCCCATCAGTGAGATAAATTCCTAGATAGAGGTCACCAAATTGCCCTCCACAGAATTAAGACATGTCTAAAGACCGGGGATTGCAGAGGGGTATCAGAGAATTGGGACAAAAAGGACAAGACTGAACCTGCTGCCTCAGTATGTGTAAGCAGTGAAATTATGCAGGCAAACATAGTCGTGGGTGGTGGCAACGTGGATTTTAAATCAGATGTTACCATTCGGTCACGGTGTGACCTTCGGCAGGCCCCTTAGGGCCTTTGGGGCTTTTTTTAACCTGTAAAATGTGAACAGTAATATACCTCTGGTATATTATGTTAATTGGTATAAATGTTAATTGGCTGAGTAAATTTATCTTCAGTATCTACTGTGTGAGACATTGTTCTAGGTAGCGGGGACCTAAGTAGCTTCTGCCCCTGTAGAGTGAACATACAGTTCTAACATGGCATAATAAGGGCCTTGCAGAGAATTACAGGGAAGTTTACATTGGGCCATCAAGGAAGGCTTCTCCAGGAAGGTGGCATTTGATTCAACAGTGTGAGATCTGGCCCAAGACCCTGTGGGCAGAGAGCAGCCGGCGCAAAGGCCGGAAAGCATCTGGGGTGTCTGGGAAGTGGAAAGGTGGCCTGCCCAGCTGCGACAGGGAAACCAGGGCACTCACCAAATGGTCCGTCTAACCCCCCTGCTTCCTGGCCACTCCGCCGTGGACAAGACACATGATTAGTTCTGGCCTGTGGGCTGTGAGCAGAGAGAGATCCATGCATGATTCTCCATGCTCCTCCCCTTCCCCTGAAGCACAGGTCGAAATGGTGTCATCTGTTGGTACGGCCTCCATCATCCTGGGTTGCTGAGGAACCATGTAGACCAGACTCCGTGCCAACCCGCATTTGGCATGTGATCTGAGGGACAAACAAACCTGTTAAGCCAGTGAGTTTCTTGGGTAGTACATCAGAAATCCTTTGTGTAGGGCCCAGGCGTCTGTATTTTACCAAGCCCTCCGGGTGATTCTGGGGCTAAAGTTCTAGAACCACTGTGCAGGGCCAGGCTGAGTTGGTAGGGAGTCTTGCCCTGGGAAGGAGCTTTGCCTGCCCAGTCTCTCCCTGTCTCAAGGGGCTCAAGGAGGCCAGACAGCTGCACCCACCTTGCTTGAAGGGGAAAGGCAGAAGAAGGGCTTTATCTGCCCAGCTGGGGCAAGAAAGGCATTGAGACAAGGTGACCCTGGATCTGGGTTTCAAGGATGGGCAGGATTTGCCCCGGGGTGCGGGTGGGGTGGCAGGAGGGCATTCCAAGCAGAGGGAAAAGATGTTGAGGAGGAATGGGAAAAGGATCCTAGGATGCATTTTTCCAGGCCCTTCCTTACAGTAGTAGGGTAACTGATATAAAGGGCCAGTAGCGTTAGAAAAACCACCATTTTGCAACCATAAAACTAACTCATCTTAACAACGAATGCCAAAACGATAGAATAATTACGCACATATTCTCCCACAGAGTGTGTATTAATTTGCAAAGGGGGAAAAGGTACCTTTGCAGTGGAGAAACCGGTCATGCACCACTTTCAAGTCGTTAAATTTACCATTACCAAATGTGACAAACTGCCATCAGGTGTCTCCTGAGGTGACGTGCTGGGAAGCACACATCACTTCTGTGCAACTCTGGCAAAATTGCAAAACCTGAATCATGAGGTTGACAAATTGGCTAACTCAAGTTGCGGGACATTTTATAAAACCATGTACCTGTTCCCTTTAAAAATGTCAATGTCATGAAAGACCAAGGAACTATATCAGAATAAAGGAGAATATAGACAACTAATGCCACTCATGATTCTGAACTAGAACACCTGCTATAAAAGCTATTGGAATGATCGGAGGAATTTGAATATTGGGTGTATTTAAAAATACTGAATCAGTATTTCATGAACTCAGTTGTACTGTAGCTATGTAAAAGCTTGTCCCATTTCTTAGGAGATGCTAAAGGATTAAGATAAAGGGGCTTGACATGTGTCTACAAGTCATTTTCCTGTGTTTCTGGAAAAAGCAAATAAGAATTTGTTTTTAAAAGATGGATGCCTGGCTGGCTCAGGGGTCAGTACAGCATGTGACATTTGATCTCGGGGTTGTGAGTTCGAGCCCCATGTTAAGCATAGAGCTTATTTAAAAGAAAAAAAGAAAAGGGGAAAAGGGGCGCCTAGGTGGCTCAGTTCGTTAAAGCGTCCCAACTTCGACTCAGGTCATGATCTCACGGTTCGGGAGTTCAAGCCCTGTGTCGGGCTCTGTGCGGACAGCTCAGAGCCTGGAGTCTGCTCCGGGTTCTGTCTCCCTCTCTGTCAGCCCCTCCCTCACTGGCATACTCTCTTGCTCTCTCAAAAATAAACATTAAAAATTTCAAAAAGATTCAAGGAACCCTGAAAAGGTGGGAAACACCCTAATAGCATAGGTCTTGTAAACTATAAGCATAAATGCATTCTTCTGTCTCCTGGCTATAGCAGGAGGATCCTGGGGCGGCTGGGTTTTCCCTCCCTGTCCCGTGTTGAATTTCTTCCTGTATTTCCTGAGTCCTACCCCCAGCCCAGGTTGCTGAACTGGAAGGCCCCATGGCCCAAGGGGATGTTGTCAAATTCTTGGTTTAAATGAGGACAGAAAAAACTGAGTGTATGTTTGCATTAAGACCAAAAGATTCGGGATGAAACCTACTGAGCCATTTTCCTT